CTGTGCCCATCACCATCATCCCTGTGCCCATCATCATCATCCCCATGCCCTATCATCATCATCACCCTTCTACCCATGGTCATCACCATCTCTGTGCCCATCATCATCATCTCTGTGCCCATCACCATCATCCCTGTGCCCATCATCATCATCCCCAGGCCCTATCATCATCATCACCCTTGTGCCCATGGTCATCACCATCTCGTGTCCATCACGATCATCCCGTGAATTTCAGCAGCACCCCCGGGATTCCAAGTAGGACACCCCAGCTGTGCCGGAGCTGCGCACCAGAAACACTTCAAGGACASCCTGGCCCAGGGGCGCCGATTCGGTTTGTGTGAGGGATCCCTGAGCCAGGAGCTTCAGGAATAAATAGGCCAACACCCAAGGGGAGTGAGTAGGGATAAGAAACCCCAAAAACTTCCTGATGGACCTCAGTGATCCCACCAGAGCCCAGGAGAGACGCAATGCCAGGGGAGACACAAAATCCTCCAACCTCAGTCACACCTTTGAAACACAGGAGTTTCATTAGGAATGATTTCCAGGAAAACTCCTCCAGGATAGCAGGAGCGGGTGCTGTTTCCTGGGCCACTTTAACCATTTCTATGACTCTGTGGTGCACAGCAGCAAGGAATTAAAACCAAATATAAACCCAGCTTATAATAAAATAATCCTTACYGCCTGTATTTTGTGCTCCGCACATACAACACAGAGTAATTAAATGCTGGACTCGATCTCGGAGGTCTTTTCCAAGTGAAATGATTCTGTGATTCCCATTATTCAATCTGTTTGTAGCTGCCACGAGGTGGAAGCATGAAGACACAGCAGAGCTTATTAACAAAGCACCTAATTACTCCTGGGTTTARTTTGCTTTATTTCCACCAGAGGGAGRAKGAGACACGCTGGTGGCATCCCCWGGAAAACWAAACTCYAAGGCAGCCCCCAGCAGAASTGCTCCAAGGTTTTCAGGGACCASTCCYCCCAAGGTTTTTAGGGMCCTTGAATGGTCCTGTCACCTGGARCAGAGCTGTCYCCTGTTAACRGCTGTCCCACACTGCCACCAAACCCTTTGGAAAGCTCTGGCGACCRCAAAGATGACAAAGATTTCCAGAATTTGTTCATGGAGTGGTCAGTGTTGATTCGACATTAAGTCAATAAAGCCCAAACTCCACATGCTGCATGCAGAACTAATGAATTTATAAATTGTTTTATCTCTGTCCATGATYCTCATCAAAGGTCTGGAAGATCACTGGGAGCCTGTTCTCGCATACCAAAGGATTTAAGGTGTCCTGAAACCACAAAGGCTGAAAGCTGCTGTTCAGAGAGAGCACGGAGCTGCTGAGCAAACCCAGCCCCTCACAGCGGCCGGAAAAGCAACTCCCTGACAACTGTTKGAAGTGAAACATTAATCAAAACCCTTAATGAAATTCCTGCCGAGATCCAGAGCTCAGCTGAGCTTCCAAGGGCAGCACAGGCTGCTTTAAGAGACATGACTGCACCCGGAACTGCAGAGCACCAAAGCAGGGCGCTCGGAGAACTTCGCCAGGGGTTACACAGAAAGTTGCACTGCCCAGTTCGTTCTGGCTTGGGGACAAACTGGCAGCTCCTCCCCTCCCAGTTGGGGCACTCTGGTCACCGCTTGGCCGCACCGTTCTGTCCTCGCCTGTGACCGGACTCACAAATCAGCTGGAGAAAAGAGTCAAGCGGAGCAACGCGAGGAGCTGAATGTACTTTGAGAGGAGCGCAGGGAGTGCATGAATGCAGCTCTSTCTGAGTTCCCAGAGCTCTAACACACAGGAGAAGCAGTTCTGCTCTGTGCGGATCCTCTGCCCACGCTGAAAATGCCAGAGGCCGGTGCAAGCGTCCTCCTGCTCCGTGCTTGCCTGGCACTGCTAGCCTCTCCCATCTACCTGCTCTCCTTCCTGGGCATGTGGGAGCCTTTCTGCAAGAAGGTCTTTTTTCCGTTCATCTTAGACAAGATYAGCATAGTTCACGACAAGAAATCAAAGAAGCATAAGCAGGAGCTGTTCCGTAATCTGCCYGACTTCAGGGGCCCCTCCGGGGAGCTGAAGGTGCTGGAGATCGGCACCGGCAGCGGCGCCAACTTCCAGTTCTACCCMCCGGGCTGCAGAGTCACCTGCACCGACATCAACCCCAACTTCCAGGAGGGCCTCACCAGGAACATGAAGAAGAACCAGCACCTGCACTACGAGCGGTTCCTGGTGGCTGCGGCTGAGGATCTGCACCAGGTGCCCAGCGGCTCCGTGGACGCTGTGGTTTGCACCCTGGTGCTCTGCTCCGTGCACAGCGTCAGCAGCGCCCTGAGGGAAGTGCTGCGGGTGCTGCGGCCGGTGAGTTCCCACAGAAAAAACCGTGTTATGTGTGCTCCAGAGGCACCAGGGCGTGAGGAAAGGGGAAAAAAACCAAGGGTTAAAGAGTTGGTTTGAGTTTTAAAGCCAGASCCAGGTTGGTTCCTACAATCTCTTTGTATGGCTGAGTGCTGCAAAGGGTACTGGGCAGCCTGGTTTAGGCTTAGAAATCCTAAAAGCAACATTCTGCCAACGAAAAGGGCTTAAAAAGTCAGCAGCAATCACAGTCCATCATTTAAAGCAGAATGTGGTATTGTCCTTCCCCTTTCAGCGTGGGATTTTCCTGGAGTGGGAAGCTCTGATCAAGGCTCAAAGTTTAGTTTTAAACTAACTGCTTCAGCCTCTATGAAGTGGAGCAGCTCTACCTGTACAACCAGGTATTACYTTATACCTGGAGTTATTCCAGGGAACAACCCTATTTCCCTGGAGGTACTAACAATCTGCAGATTAAAACTGCTGGGATATTTTTGCAACCAACTTTTAGCCTTTAAAGTGGCATTTTCTTAGAACCATCGAATGGTTTGGGTTGGGAGGGATCTTTAACACCGTCTTGTTCCAACCCCCCTGCCTTTGGGAGGAACTTCATCCCAATATCACATCTAACCCTGCCCTCTGTGAAAAACAGATGGGTTGGAGCAGGATTTATACATTTATCTTGGTCTCCTTTGGAAAAAAACCAGTCATGTTAGCAACTAATTGAAACAAAACCACMACAAACTATTGCTGGAATTAAAAACGGATCAAATAAGTCAATTCTTTGTCGCTGTGAATGGGCACTTTGAATCTCTGCATGTTTCCTTCTTTCACTAATTCCAGCTGACAAAGGGAAGAGGAAAAGGAAGGGAAAAGGAAGGGAAAAAGGAAGGGAAAAGGAAGGGAAAAAGGAAGGGAGGGGGCGGTGGGAGCCGCTTGGCGTGACCCCCACACCCGCTGTAAGAAGACTCTGTGTTCCCAGGGAGGAGCTTTCTATTTCTTGGAGCACGTGGCTGCTGAGCATTCCAGCTGGAAGTATTTTTGGCAGCAGGTCTGTTACCCGACTTGGAAGCTCGTCTTTGCTGGATGCTGCCTCACGAGAGAGCTGTGGAAGAATCTGGAAGAGGCCAAGTTCTCAGAGCTGAAGATACAACACATAAGCGTGGCGCTGCCTGGAACACCCATCGAGCCTCACATTGTGGGGTACGGGGTGAAGTAATCCCTGTCCTGCCCCCCGTTCCCCAAAATTCCTCATCGTGACCAACACACCCAGCACGGCACAGGCTCCYTCATGCGTGCCCGGACTTGTATCAGAAACCAAATTAAGTGTCAGGGGAGAAAAGCCCTTTTGGATCAKAGTCCAGCAGTTAACCCAGCACCAGCACCACATTCACCACTAAACCATGTCSCCAAGTGCCAAATSCAYRCRTTTTTTAAACASTTTCAGGGATGGTGACTYCACCATTGMCCTGGGCAGCCTGTGCTGGGGCCTGACAGCCCCTTCCATGAAGAAATCTTCCTTTCTATAAATTAAACCTCCCCCGGTAACTTGAGGCTGTTTCCTTCATGAAGCCCCGGCACTGCCGACCCCAGGACAACAAAAACCAGCCCAGGAAACAGAAAATAAAGGTTTTAATGAAAACGGACTGCTGCCTGTGCCTGGTTAACTCTGYGATGGGGTTCCCTCAGGTGTTCCCCAGGTGGCAATGTCACTGGGGCTCATCAGACCTGCTGCCCCCTCCCCATGGTCCCTCAGAGCTGTTCCTGCTCTCCTGCTGGAACCTGAACCCCAAAGCTGACCCTTGGCTCAGATGAGGGTCAAACACCTGGAGCTTTGTCCAGTGAGGGTGAGACCCTTGATCCTTTGTGCAGGTAAAGCTGAGCTCCCTTGACCTTTTGTGAGGTGAGACCCTCGATCCTTTGCCCGGGTGAAGCCGAGCCCCTGTCCCTCTGTTCTGGTGAGACCCTCGATGCTTTGCCCGGGTGAGGGTGAGAGCCTCGATCCTTCGCTTGGGTGAAGCTGATCCCCCTGTCCCTCAGTTCAGGTGAGACCCTCGATCCTTTGCCCGATGAAGCTGAGCCCCCTGTCCCCCTGTTCTGGTGACACCCTCGATGCTTTGCCCGGGTGAAGCTGAGCCCCCTGTCCCTCAGTTCAGGTGAGACCCTCGATCCTTTGCCCGGGTGAAGCTGAGCCCCCTGTCCCTCTGTGAGGGTGAGACCCTCGATCCTTTGCCCGGGTGAAGCCGAGCCCCCTAACCTTTTTTGAGGGTGACACCCTCGATGCTTTGCCCGGGTGAGGGTGAGACCCTCGATCCTTTGCCCGGGTGAGGGTCCCGCAGACCGGTCCGAGAGGGAAGGGCGGTCCCTCCCGTCCCCTCACCGGCTCCTCCGGCCGCGCTCCCGCGCCGTCCCCGCCGCCCCAACGGCCCCGAGCCGGCTCCGGCCGTTCCCCGCCGGGGCTCCCTCAGGCCCCGGCGCCATCTTCGCCCCTCCGCGGCGATGCGGCGGGCGCGGCCCGCGCTGCCGCTGCTGCTGATGCTGCTCCCGGGGCTCCTGCCCGGCGGGGCGGCCCCGAGGGACCCCGGCGATGGTACCGGGACCCTGCGGGACCCTGCGGGACCCTGCGGGACCCAGCGGGGCCGGGGAGGGGGCGGCGAGCGGGGAGAGCCTGAGCTGAGGGGGGCTGGGGAGAGGGGGAACTTCGCTTACACCATAATCTGGTGAATTCGTAAAGTAGCAGCGACTGGAGTGCTTAACCGAAAATTTATGCGCAAGAAATACACCTTGATCAGATAAATACAAGCATTTCATATGGGCTGAGAAGTACCAGGAGGTTCCAAGATCCCCAGACACGGGGTCTGTGAGGCAGCGAGTCCTGCAGTACAAACGTCCATGGAATGGTTTTGGCTGGAAGGGAGAGACCTTAAAGTCCATCCAATGCCACTCCCTGCCATGGCAGGGACACCTCCCACTGTCCCAGGGTGCTCCAAGCCCTGTCCAGCCTGGCCTTGGACCCTTCCAGGGATGGGAAATCCATTCCAATGACCTGACACCCTCCCAGGGAGGAATTCCTTCCCACTGTCCCATCTAACCCTGCCCTCTGGCAGTTTGAAGCCATTCCCCCTTGTCCTGGCACTCCAGGTCTGTGTAAACAGTCTCTCTCCATCTTCCCTGCAGCTCCTTCAGCCACTGGAAGGCCTTAGTTAGGTCAACACAAAGCTACTCGTGGCTGAACAATCCCAATTCTCCCAGACTTTCCTCCCAGCAGAGCTGCTCCATCGCTCTAAACAACTCAGTGGCCTCGTCTCCAACAGGTCCACGTCCTTCATGTGCTGTGGTACTGCTGGAGATTAAAAGCCCCAAACCAAACCAAATAAAAACAAACAAACCAGAACACCACCATCACCACCAAGACCCACTAAAACCCAACCAAACAAAAACCCCAAAACAATACAAAAAAAAGACCCAATATAAAAAGACCAACCAATAAAGCCCAAGCCCCCAAAAGCTCAGCTTTGCCCTGCAGTGCTCTAAGGGGCTCGCTGTGTTTTGCATTTTGCAGAGTGTGAGCAGCAGCTGCCGCTGGCCCGCGCCGCCGCGTCCTGGATCGTGGGTGGCCACGAGGCCCCGGAGGGTGCATGGCCATGGATCGTGAGCCTGCAGGTGCACCACAGAGGGATCCGCTTCAGACACCTGTGCGGAGGGGTCCTGCTGGGCCGCAAAGCCGTGCTGACCGCCGGCCACTGYGTCAGCGGCAGGACGTACGTACCGSGGASAACGGGGARAACRGGGAAAAYGAGGCCAAGGGAGCCTGCGTTGTGTCTGTCACTGTGGGAACAGGAGCTGTCCCCCTGTGCTGGGCACTCTGAGACCCCTCCAGTGCYGTGTCCAGTTCTGGGCYCTCACAGCAACGGCTGGAGCATGTCCAAGGCYAGGAACAGAGCTGGGGAGGGGTTGGAGCACAATTTGGCACTTAATTTTCTCTTTTTTTTGGACAGTGTAGTAGGAACTCCTCAGAACAGACTTTTAACTGCACTTACAGCATTTCAGCTCCCAGCACTGGTCTCTTTTCCAGCCTTTACCACAGTTGCACAATCTGCATCAGGTGGCGTCTGCTGTATTGACACAACCATGATCTGGGGGGAAGTGAACTGTAAAATCAGAGAACTTTGGAATTTTATCCTTTATCAGGACTTTGTTACATCAGCTCCTGGTTTGCATTTAACAAACATTTATTTGCAATATAATACCTCTTTATATTATCAATTTAGTTTTTACCTAATTTTGGGGGTTAATTTGAATATTATAGTTCATCCCAGGCCAAATTCAAATATCACTTAAGTTTTTTTTACATAACTGACTAGAAATTAGGTCTGAATGACTCTACCCCTATTTTTAAATTTAGTATTAACTTGATAGTCATTATTTTTACTTCTAGACAATGGATTTCTCAGGTCTAGGTACAAGCAGAGTCTTTGTGAGCATTGTGGGGATGAGCTTCCTTCCTTTATGCAAAATAAAACCATGTTTTTAGCTTTTTCAGGCTAATTTCTTCTGATGGCCTCTGCTGAATGGGGTGGGAGGCAAATTCTGGGTGTCAACTTAAATCCTTAATCTGAATTTTCCTTAACAGCCATAACCATCAATAGGCAGTGTTCACATGGACAGAATGGTAATGAGGCAAATTACTTCCAGGAAATATTTACTATGGAATTTTCAATCTATATTCCTAAAGGTGCATAAGCAAAAGAAAAGTGGGTTAGATGGGATATTGGGCAGATATTCSTAAGAATGGYRRGGCCCTGGCTGAGGCTGCYCAGAGARGCTGGGGCTGTCCCATCCCTGAAGTATCCAAGGCCAGGCTGGACAGGGTTAAGAACCACCTGGGATAGTGGAAAGTGTCCCTAWYCKTGCAGGGGGAGGAATGAGATGAATTTTAAGGTGCTCCAACCCATTTCAGGAATCCATGACTGTATGAAAACAAACAGTAAAACAATGTAAAACCCTTGTGAATTGTCTGGTAGGGATCCATGTGACTGGCGAGCTGTTCTGGGCGTGCACAACCTTCAAAAGCACAGTCCCCACACAGCAAAAAGGAGGATCAGGAGGATCATGGTGCACTCGCAGTTCAAGAGGGACACCTTTGAGAACGACGTCGCAGTGTTTGAGCTGAGATCAGCGGTGCGGTACAGCCTCTACATTCAGCCCATYTGCCTGCCCCCAGATCCCCTGGCTGAGCTCATGGACAACAGCTCCAACTGCTACATCAGCGGCTGGGGACGCACCGTGGAGAAGGGTAAAGGGCTCTGGGAACTCTGGGAACTGCTGGGCACCTTCCCACACAGCCGTGGGTACCACCCACTGCAGCTCCCTGCGTTCAGAAACTCACTCTGTACTTGGATCTTAGAGACCTTTCCCAACCTGTCACAGGGGAATGGCACCAAACTRAAAGAGGACAGGTTCAGATTAGATATTCGGGAGAAATTCYTCCCTGTGAGGGTGGGGAGGCCCTGGCACWGGGTGCCCAGAGAARCTGTGGCTGCTCAATCCCTGGAAGTGTCCAAAGCCAGGCTGWACAGGGCTTAGAGTTGTGAACTGAGGGGTCCCCGTGGGATTTATGAATGGCTACACCCCCTCCAATTCTCTCTTCACTCCCACTGGGCACACATTTGGTGCCAGTTGGTGTTGTGTGTTGTGTGTTGTGTGTGGGAGTTTCAGGGTCAGCTGGGATTGTATGAGCCCCTGTTTGATGTCACCTCTGACACTTTGAGAGAGGCAGATGCATTATCACTGATGCTCCTGAGGAGGAACTGCAAAATCTACATCAAACCCAAGTTTGCAAACCCACTCCACTTTCAATCCATTGGGAACAGGCAGGATCTGTGTCACATCCATGTCTAAACATGTCTAGGAACACGCCTGGGCCCTGGCGAAACGGAGAAAAACRCAGTAAAATTGCTACACACCTCAATAGATTTCACCTTTCTAAATTCTGTCTCCATTCAAGGTAAAATCTCACCTGTGCTAAACCAAGCCCAAGTGGAAATCCTCCCTCACAGCCTGTGTAACAGCTCTGAAGGATACGAGGGGCTCATGAACAACAACGTGCTCTGTGCCGGTGCCTGGGGCGGCGGCACCGACTCGTGCCAGGTGAGATGGAGGTGCTGCCACAACTGCCTCGCTGCAACTGCCAGAGGCTCAGCAGCACCATGATTTGTATTAATTAATTCAAACAGCAGAAATACTAACTGGGAAACATGTCAAATGCAAAGGAAGCATCATGAAAGGGTGGGACAGTGATTGCAAAGCAAAAACACCTCAAAGAATTTGGTGATATTGGAAAGGCAACAGGAATAAATAAAGGGGAAGGATAAAGAATGCAACGTATTTATGCCACAAAGGCGTCATGTGTGACGTATGATGTATGATGTATGATGTATGATACAAACCATTGGACAGACATGTCACTGTGCCATGGAGTGTGTGTGAAGCACATGAATGTCTCACTTGTTCTTATGCTGGAGAGCAGCACTGGACAGGGACRTGGCTCAGGGATGTGGTTCAGGGATAGGGCTGTACAAAGTGGCTCAGGGATGTGGTTCAGGGATAGGGCTGTACAAAGTGGCTCAGGGATGTGGTTCAGGGATAGGGCTG